ACACGAAGGTTCAAGGTCGGCTCATGCAAGCGCACTTGATTCAAATCCATCAGGTTATCGCAAAAAAAATAAGGTCGGATACTTTTCTCACAGGCCTCGTATAGTACACAGTAACTGTTTTTCGCACTCCTGAAGATGACGTGAAACATGTAGAGTGAATTTTACGACCGTTAATCGGTTTAAATAAAGATTTTAATTGTGTATTATAAAACATTGTTCACTTGTGGTTTTTAATATTTCATCTCAGTATTGAATTTTCCTTTTCCAGGAAATTAGGTTTGAACTATTGATCTTTGAGAGTTAACTTACTAATTTGAGTTTTTGAAGAGCTGAAATAATTTTGTCCAAAACTGTTCAGAATTTATTCATGGGTGTAATTCTGCATTATTTAAATAGATGTGTTACTAAATCAGATTTTCTTCTGAGAAAATTACAAAATGTTCTTTCCGTAGTGTCCTTTGAATCAGTTGGGTTCTTTTATATCAAGAGTTTTCTTTTCTAAGTCTGAATTTATTAAACAACTTTTTCCTTTTTGACAGACTTATAACTAATTTCTTTTTAACACAATATTTTAGGGATTCAGTGATGGGGTGGTGAAATTAAAAATGCAAGGAGCATGTACAAGTTGTCCAAGTTCTGTTGTGACTTTAAAAAATGGAGTAGAGAACATGTTAAAATTTTACATCCCTGAAGTACTATCCATTGAACAGGTTAGTATTAAACATGCTACACTCTTTACTTACATTAAATGCTAAATTTTCTCACCCCTGTAGTATGGTGTGTTAAAATAATCCACCCTTAATGTGTTATACACTAAAAAGGTTAGTAATAACACACAATCCGGATGTTTTTTTCGTTGGTGAGCCAGGTGATATTATATTTTAGTTTAACACCTCTGAACAGATCAGTGGAGAAACTCTGGTTTCTTTTAACAAAAAAAACTAAAGAGTAAATGAAAAAAAATATTTTATTTAATGATATTCAAACAGTTTCTTCTCTAAAGGAAACTCTTCTCATCAAAAATAAAAAAAAACAATAGAGAATGTAAAGGAACTTCCCGTCAACTCTTTCATGGTACAACGTTACTAATAATCACCATGTGAGTGACTTAGGGAATCATCATTGGCTCAGACTTGTTTAAGCTTGTAATTCAGTATATTTTGTTTACCTAATAGCCTTTTTCCTGAAGTAATAAGTTTCCTTTGAGCTCCTTCAAGTTTTAAAGCTAGCACTAGAATCTGAGTGAGAGAAAATACAAGACTGTATAACTGAAGTTTTTTAATGATTAAAATAAAACTATTTGGGACTGTGAATAAGCTAATAAAATTAAAATAAATGACAGAGTTTATGGTTGAAACTGTGGCTCATATGAGGCTAAAACTGATTATAGTACACTTGTAAAACATGTTTAGCATTGAACATGTTTCTTGTTTTTCATACGTGTTTGATGTAAGAACTAGTGTTATATGTAACTGTGGAATTATAGTTAAAGTCATAGAAAAATACTTAAGAAATACATACAAGTTAAAATTATTTTGTATATAGTTCAAATATTACTGTTGATTTAATGTTTGTGTAAATGTGAAAATTCTACCTCATATTCAGCCAAGGGTTAAGTAGCTTTAGCTATATTCAGAAATTACATTTTTAGCCAGAAAGGTTGGTAGTTTTAGCTGTAGTCAACCATTTAATTCTTAGCCAGAAGGGTTAACTAGTTTTAGCTGTAGTCAAACATTTAGTTCTTAGCCAAAGGGTCGAGTATTTATGCTCAAACAATTAATTTGTTGCCAAACTACTTTAGACAGCATCATGCATATTCATGTTTTTATAGGGAACTTGTAGAAAATTAGTTAGAATATAACTTTGGAAATATTTCAGATTGAACAGTAGAATGCTCAAGATATTTAATAGTTTAATGCTGGGAGATCAATACTAGCTCTGATTTAATCTTTTTGTTTTCTTCAGTGTGTAAAATATTGCCATTTTGATATATCATGTGTGAAACAAGAAAAGTTGTGACAAAAATGGCTCTTTCAGTTTTATCAAAGATGTGGCCTCAAAACTTCACTTTTGATGCAACAACTTAGCTTCAGACTTCATCAAAATACTTAGAAAACCATTTTATACCTTTATCAGTGTCGAGAATATAAGGAAGGAAAACTTAGTTTGGGGGGGGGTCAGAAAAAATTAACACTTTCATTTCAGTGGTAATCACAATGTAGAGAATTTAGGAATCTTAAATGACTAAATGATACCTCAGTTGGGGAGATGCCCCCCCCCCCCCATGCTGGTGGACACACCACTGTCTATTATATTTACAAAAGTGAAGAAACATAAGAACATAGTTGAAGTATTAGTGTGATTCATTCAAATTACAGTGTATGATTGTACCATTAACGAAATTATTGTTGGCTGAAATGAGAATAGTCCAATATCTTGTTATCATTGTTTATAGAGCTGTAGATAGGTGATTACAACTCGGGAATAAACCACGAGTTACCGTGTTTTACTTGTTCTCCAAGTTTATTCCTACATTCCCGTGCTGGATATTTCTTATTGAGAGCTCGCTCTTTCACGATATTTATCTTGCTTTCCAGGTAATGGATAAAACAGATGAAATATCAGAAAGAGAATTTGAAAAATTAGAAAAGAAGCTCAACCAAGATGGGACAAATTAAATACTCTTATTTATATTTAGTGAATATATATAATGTAATATATATATTGTGGCTTTATTCTACAGCTAAACAGCTCAAGTAATGTTGCCCTGAAAATATGTATAAGATACCTGTAGTGAATAAAATGTTTATTTGGCTTTCAATACACAGTTTTAGATAATTTTTTTAAAATATATGAATTCTCTTAGAAATATTTAAAAAGTTCTTTCTGAATGGTTGACTTGGATGAAAAGAAACGGTTGTTTAATATCAAACACAAGTTAAAATAGTGGTTTGTTTGGTGTCATTATAAAATATTTTTCCTTGAATCTTCCCGTCTCTCTGACGCATGTTTAATACAAGCCACTGGTTAATTTACCATATGTATTTTCACCCAAAATCAAAAGTAAAATTTCCTGTAGAAGTGTGACCAGTGATTGTACTTCGATATTCAGACAATTGATTAACAATTTTAAAAATAAATAGTTATGGGAAGTCCTATACAGAACTTGATTTTGAGAATTTTTATAAGATTTAGAAATCCACATAACAATAACACTTAAGCTTATAAAATTGAGTGAAAAAAAAATTTTAATTTTACTCGTACGTAATATTAGGAAAAGTAGTTTTCCACTCTATCTTAATATAAAGTATTTTATTTTACACATATGACTAGTAGTAGACAAACTCTGGTCTTCCTATGTTATTGGAAAAAATTGAGTGAAGGTGACTTTTCTTTAAAACTGAAACTTTATAACTGTTTACCTGGTCATTGGAAATGACTTCAACATGCATATTTTGGTTAATGATCTAGAAGTTATAATAATAATAAAAAAACAGAATAAGCCATCTTATTACACTGATGTAATAGTCATTCAAATGAAAAAAATGTAACACAAGACTTCAGTAGTTCTTATAAATAAATTTCAAATTATTAAAAACCTTGCCGAGGATAGGATTAGAGAATTTGGGCCAAGATTGATATCACTCAAGTTTCAAACCTACTAAATAAATAAATATATATATATAAACCAAATTTTTTAAACAAGATCATTTCTTTAATGGGCAGAAAAAATAAGCTTTAATAATAATAATATTACATTTATAGTAACTTAAAAGTTTTTTTTTCCAAATTTGATATAATAATTAACCATATGTACCTGTTATGTTCATTTCTGACCAATGTTTAGTTTTTAAAGAAGAACTACACTGTATCTAGCATGTGCATTTCTGACCACAGTTTTAAAACAGAAATTATGTACTAACATGCATACACACACACTTATAAACCAAGAACATTCTTTTTTGCTTATGATGCAATTTCTTAACTAAATTAATTTAAAGCTATACCTTTGAAAAACAAACACCTACATCATTTAAAGAAAAATTCATAACTCCATTCACAAGTTACTGAACATAACACTGATGGAACTGAAATGGTAGAAAAGACTAAGTGAACCGAGCTAAATGACAGATATTGGCCTAAATGTCCACGTTGTACAAAATGCAGACAGCCCATTGTGTGTAGCTTTGTGCTAAAACAACAATAACAACACTTACAGGCTTGAAAACATTTTGTTAAGACCGATTAAGTAATATGGATAAAACAATTGGAAAGATCTAAGATATTTATTGCTTATTTGCTGATCTGAAAATATGAAGTTCAGCCATAACAAATGCCATGTAACAAACTTTTATTTATCATACATTCTGACCATTTAGTAAAATGATCTTTTTATCAATGGAAAAAAAAAAAGAGCTATTTCTTATCCTCACTACTTTAATAAAATCCAAGTATTTTACTATCATTATACAGATATCTACTTGGCAAGCAAATATGATGTTAAGATAATAAGAAAGTAAAGTGTTTTATGCAAAACAAAAAAGCGAGAGATATTAAACTCGGACCAGTTTACAATCACAGCCTTCTCGATATTGATACAGACAACATTAACAAAAACATAAGATTCTTTTGGAAGTTCTTTTTGTCATTCATCTCTAACAGTAAAAAATAATTAATTTTGGCCTTGAGTAAATGATACAAAGATCAATTACTTTGTAGAGCAAACATTTAGAGATTTTCACCAAGTTCAGCTTATTCAGCAATAATTAATGACAGTCATTTTATATTTCAAAACAGTACCCTTTATTTAACAAACAATCTCCGAAAAGCATATTTGGAAGAAATCCACCGAGGTTTTCTTAATTGATATCACACAGCCAGGAAACAACAGCTACAACTGAATAATTCAAACAATGATGATGCTTACCTTTAAACATTATACATATGAACAAAACTGATTTTAAGGAAATATGTTTTTTAAATTCAGTACAAAAAAAAAAGTTATTCAAATTCAATAAGTTAAAACAAATCAAACTCAACTAGTCAAAAGAGACACATCACAGTGCTCAAAAACCTTAACTTTCTCCTTATTAAGTTCTAAATAAATAAATCCAGAAGTGTTTTGAAATTCTGCCCAAAAGTAAAAGTTTAACCCAGGAGATGAGAAAGATTTAACTTTAAAAGAATGATTTATAAGCTGAAAAATGAATTTTATGAAACCAGTTTGACAAAATCTGTTTTATATAGTCTAATAAACAAAGATAAGGACAAAATATGTAAATACCCTTGGTTACATAACTGTGTACTTTAGGTGGGCTCTAATTTTCTTGATGAGAGATTAAAAAACTATTGCAAAAACAGTAATTTTTATGTGAAAAATAAAACAAAAACAAATTAAACTTAGTAGGTCATAAAATATAAGATCCTGTGGCTCAAGTCCAACACAAATCTCTTATCATAAATGCATCTATCCATAGTGATTAAAACTTTTCTAGTCACCCTTACACCAATATCTAGATTCTTACCTGTCAAACGTGATTAAATATAAACCACACTAAAAATAATTAAATAGAGAATCAGGAAATAGACATGCCACTAGGTGTGGGATGTATAATTTTCATGTATGAGTGATTGACGATTGTATTGGAACAAAAAACACTGGAGAAATAGAGAATTCTCTTGATAGATTTTCAGTGTAACATAAATTTGAACAATACAAGGAAAAACACTGATCATGTATATCACTTTAACAACACCTACAACCATGACTTAGTAATTAATGCCTTGTAAAATAATCAGATGAAATTTAAGAAAACGAGACTGTCTGCTATTTGATTTTAACTTCTTTAATGCTTAACTACAAAAATCTGTTTTTTTGGAAGTAATCTGCTTACAGATGTGAATCAGCAGAGGAAAAATACTTCATCAAAACACCTATACTGGACTATGATCAACAAAACCCTTATAGGGGAGGTTAGTCATTACAATAAATTTTATGATATTGCAAATACATTAACATGAGAGAGAGAGAGAGGCTGACAAAACTTGACAACACATTTAGATGACCACGCTAACTTTTCTTGCATTAAACAGCAAATGGACTAATATTATTACCAACTAGTATGACAGATTTCATAATAATCTTGAACAGAATTATTAAATGGATAAAGCTGTACAATGAAGAACAAAATATAACTAAATTGATAAATCATTGGTTCAAAACGATGATACAATCACGAAAACTGTGAGCGTCCATGACAAAAATGTCGTGCAATTGTAGATATTAATAAAAGTTTAGTGTCTTTAGATTTACTATATTTCTGATTTTTAACTCCTTTTCACCTTTTCATGCAGTCCCACTGACAATATGCTAAGAATGCATGCACTTTTAATTTAGTACTTTGACACTTCAGTACACAGTGAAAGATTTTCTTTTGCTCTCAGTCGATCTTCACGGTGGAATAAATCTTTCTAACAAAGGTGCTGGTCCCTACGTACCCAAGTGTACCTTGGAAAATAAAAAGAAATGTTAACATATTAAACTATAAAATAACTTCATATGACTTTAATATTAAACATATTCGTAAGTCATTGATTTGGAAAGTTTAAGACATTTGTACATTTATCCAATTGTTTAAGAATATGATAGAACATTTACAGGAAATGTTTTTCCATTTGGATGTTAAAATATTGGAACTGACAATTGCAGATGTGTGTCTGTCTGTCTCCATTATTAGTGATACAAGAACATTTTGAATGTGTTACAATAACTTTTGTTTTGAAGATTATGTTTTGACAACAAATTACAGTCTATAAAAATATAGACAAAGTAAAATGATATGCAGTGTTAAAGTTTTTCTTCCACTTATGATGACAGAAGAAATGTTAAACAGATTTAAAACATACTTTTAGTCCGTTAAAAACTAGTAATAATTATTTTTTAACATTATTTTACTTCTGTTAATCAGCATAGTTACAATGTAGAGCCAACAGATATTACTTAATTCTGTGAAACAGATTTAAGAGAATACGTAAACTATAAAAGAAATACCTTCAAATTTACAAAAGCAAAAAATAAGTAACTTGAGAAAAAAATACATTTTATTAACAGATACTTACCACAAAGAATTCCCAGAGCTATACTAAATAGAGCCATGTAACCAAAGTAAAAGACAGTCTGGAAAAGACCGTACATTCTGAAAAAATTGTCAAAAAATAATAATTAGCAATACTGCTACAATGTTTTATTTAAATACATTTCAAATTAAATTGTGCTACATTTTATATTGGTTCATAATAAGATTTGAACTGTTCCTTGTCTTCTCTTACAGGAAAAACAAGAAGAGAGATTTTGGAGTACCTGATTAGACATATGCATAACAATGACATAATTTTTACAAACACAAGGATTTTATACACATGCACTATTTGTGATTCCTCTGACTATTTTGGCACAAATTCACACAAAAAATGAATCTGCTAAAACAGTGATGGACTTGGTGATGTGGAAGGAACTGTTGTGAAACAATAAATAATTTTTTAAACATGTATTTTTCTCTTAAATCACCTTCTCTTTGGGAAGTGGGGGTCAGAAAAGAAAGAGCCACTCAGTAAAAGATACATTACATCGAGCAAACTACCCACAAATGATACATAAAATAGATGTATCTCAATCCATGTGAAAAAGATACACCTCCAACATTACTCAGCAGAGAATGGGAGTTTGGAGAACACCTAACGGCACTAGCAGAAATCACTTCTGTAGTAAGAGTTCAAGGTAATGGAGAAACAAAATTAGTGGAAAAATCATCAAAGGGAAAAATGGGAAGACTAAATGAGGTCACTATATGAAAGCAACAAAAGGGAAACTACACGAGGCCATTATATCAAAGCAACAAAAGGGGGAAGACTACACGAGGCCACTATATCAAAGCAACAAAAGGGGGAACTACACAAGGCCATTATATCAAAGCAACAAAAGGGGGAATTACACAAAGCCATTATATTAAAGCAGCAAAAGGGGGGAGATTACATGAGACCATTATATCAAAACAAATCCATGATACTGTTCACCAAGCCTTCTTACATGACCGAAAGTTACTCTCTCTCTACAAACAAGTAGAAGAGTATGGCAAAATGGTCAAGATAAAAAAGGCTTTAAAGGCTGAATCTGATTAGTTTCCTCGCTAGATTCAAAGTGACCTCCAATAAAACGATTTGGAGCTTAAGAGAAACTCTGAGATAAAACTACTTCATCTGACTGTCAAAGGGCTTTAGCTTATGATACATAAGTGGTTGAAAAAATCCACACCACAAAATTATATTATCTTAGTGAAGAGTAATAAAAAGCTTTGTAGTAGGAATGTGTTTTAGTATTTAACTCTTTCAGCACGGGCTCGGTCCCTGGTACCGACCTTGAACCATTTTGTGCTTGTTATAGTTTTTATGCTATAACTTTTAAATTAGTAAGCAAATATTTACGAAATTTGTCAGATTATCAGTAAACATTACAATACTTTCATATGCAAAATATCAAGTTTTTTTTTATCAAGTCTTAAGGTTTATAAAGCAATGTTTTTCTCATGTCTATTTTTTCTTTTTGCGTGTTGCCTATCTATCATGCAAAGTAATATTA